CAGTGGGCAGTCTTGGACCTCAACAGCAAGCGCCGGATTGCAGTGGGCAATGCCGGACCTCAACCGCACGCGCCAGATCGCAGTGGGCAGTCTCGGACCTCAACAAACAACACACAACGACATCACAACACACCACAACACAATCACAAACACAACAAACAACACACAACCACAAACACACAATCACAAAAACACAGCCGCAAAAAAATGATAAACACAATGACAAAACACATCCACAAACACTAACACAATACACAACCAACAAAACACAAGCACGAACACCCAAACACAATACACAACTACAGATCCAACCAAACACTCCAGTGTCAGAACACTGTTTCAATTTGCATTCTGCAACTATCAGAACACCTGACAGGCGGCACAACGACATGGATTGGCATGTTTGTTCAACGGACATGTTTATGCCTGAACACCTGACAGGCGACATACCGGCGTGGATTGGCATGCTTTGACATGCTACATGCTTCTGCTTGACTGATAAGACCTCAGATAGCAACTGCCGCCACGTCGAATGAGATCAATTGGAGAGTTAGCCGGGCATGTGACTTTGCTTTAGACTTTAGACAAAGGATTGACATATATATATATATATATATTGAAATGCCATGGTGGGGGTCACTTGAAGTAAAGTAATCTTTTAGTGGGCTTTAAATGGTTTTAACGTTAACGCTACAATAAATACAATGACATTTCAATCATTTGATTTCAATTTTGCTTGTGGGTCCGCGGGTTTGGGATTGCTAATTTAGTGTTAGGGGGAGTTCGCGATGGGGTGTCGCCAGGGTCTTCAGTTGGCAGACAAAAGTGCTAACCTGTGACCACCTGCCACGCAAAATGCCACACACACAGATAAATAAGTATATTGTTGTGGTTGTGTGTTTGTGGTTGTGTTTGTGGTTGTGCTTGTGAATCCAGTCAGGTGACTGAAAGGGAAGGTGCTGGGACTCAAAACCTAGAACATCCATCAACATCCTTGTCTTCTTGGATCCACGGTATGCGGCACGGTGGGAAGTTCCCACCAGGGTGACCCGCATGCCAAAGTGGTTGCGGAAGGGACGTTTTCCCACCAAGAGCGAGATTGATAGAGTTGCTTGTGCAGGATTGTTTGATATACGTTGATATACCTTCTGATTGGCCGTTGCAAGTAGGACCGACATGATGTTTGTCTTCTCGGTGAGCCAATGAAGAGCTTCCTTCTCGAAGACTGGCTGTCAAGCGCTCGGTGGAAAGGACCTCCAAAAGGTCGGATTGTTCAGGGCATCAGGGCCCCAGCCATCAATCAGTAGGGGTGTTTGCAGGTCAGTGGTCTTTGACACAAAGCGCCATCAAGGCTCGAATCACAGGACTCCTGTATCGCTTCAAGGGTTCAACACCAAGACACTTCAGACCATCACCGGACCCACCGAAACGCGCCGAAGCGTTCACGCGCTCCTCACCTGAACGGCTCAGCAGGAAGTTCACAAAGACATGGGTCCTCGGCGACTCGACGCGAACGGTCCGACGCTCGTCTCGGCGGTCCAAAACGGCTCGTCGAACGGCTCCTGACGATGCCTCCGACGGTGACGAGGTCGGACCGGTCCAACGACCGGAGTCAGACGATGTGAACCCTGACTCGTCCGACAGGGCGCCAGACGATGGAGATGTATGGGCAAGACTCTACTGTGTGTGGCTACCAATAAGCCAACGAACATGAGGCAGTGGAGTGAAGAAGATGAATTGTGACCGATTGGAACTTTCATTTGGGGGTTGACATTTGGGTTCTTCCTTCACAACTTGTAATTCTCTTAACCTAAAGCTTTGACATCTTCTATTCTTTGTTCCAACACCAACCAGTCTTGGAAGTGGGTTCCAATCTTGATGAACACATTGTGTTAAAGAGAAACCATTGGATTGAAACCAATGTAACAAGGGGTGTCCAACGGACGTTGCTGATGTAGTAGCGTAGGGTAGTCTATACTAGTCATGGTGACCTCTTGAAATCCTTGAACGGTCTGTAAGTACACAACACAGGTTCTCACACCTGTGTTGGAAATCATACAGTCCCTGGAACGGACGTGGAACGCTGGATGACCATGAAATCCTCTACAATAGGTGCTGCCATCCAGTTCCATGATTCTTTCCGGGAGAATTACGTCATCGCCACCAGACTCGAAAAAAAAGCACAGTCAAGGTGCAAGAGCTGGGTCTGCTCGTTGCGCACCATCGTCTCCACACCCACGATCTCAGGCGACAGCGACCACACGAGGTCGCAAAAACATCTAACACCATCCCGCCGGAAGGTGTCCGGGTTCAAACGCTTGGTGCAACGGGTGGGGCATGGCGAATCCATCCATCGGACTCTTCAGAAGCGATTGGACCCTCCTGGCTCCATCAAACAGTCTGTGTCCAATAACTTGTTCATACTGTTTCAAAGGATATGTGGATCCGGAATCAACACATCCACACGTTGACTGATTCTTGGGACAGCTGGAAACGCTGGAAAGCTGTTTCCTGACAGACGGTGAAAAAAAACAAACTAAACGGGCAATGTTACATGGCACTTTTGGAGTCCATGCATTCTGTCCCTCGGTAGAAACCAATGTTTTTGTGCACCAAACGGAGCCAAACGATGACCAAACGGGACCGGTCCGAAAAAAAGGGTTCAGAAAACACACCTACTGAACACGTCTCGATTCACGCTCGTTCACCCCAAAATTCGCCTCCAGATCGAGCGAAGCCTTCGCGTCGCGGGTGAAGCAGTCGCCAAGGCACGAGGGTCCTCTCCGTGACCAAGCGACTCAAGTCCGTCCTGGGTGGAGACGTCCGCTGGTCCCGGTCTTCACCGGTGGGGTAGCTCCGGTGCCTTCGGTCCTTCCACTGGGAGCTACGTGGAAGGACACTCTCTGAGAGTGACATGGACTGGTCATGTGAACCGGTGCGATTGGATGCTGGACACCATTTACCAGTCATTTGGATGGATTTGGATTCCAAAAGACTGGTAGCATGGTAAATGACTGGTAAAAAAGTAGTTTTGGATTCCATGGGTCGATTTGGATTCCATGCTCATGGTCACAAAAGTAGTTTCTCAGTCTCATAGTTTCTCTTCAAATCTGTGCTTTGGCATTGAGTGTACACCCAACTGGGTGGCTTGTGCCACTCTCCATGGTGAGGCCCCAAAAATGAGACTGTAGCTCCATCCCAAGAGGATGGGGACAAAAAGTTCTCCAAACTCAAGACCTACAAGATAGGTAAATCCCATCAGCAAATCTGGATGTACAGTTCGCCCAACACCCCAGTTGCGAAATGGGGCTCTGAAACCGGATTCGGATTTGCAGTGAAATAGGATTCGGATGTCTCTTCCGTCTTCCACCCAAGCACTGGATGTCTGCCTCTTCCCATCAGCCTGGCAGGTTCTACTTATTCCGTATACCCAATATGCGGTTCAATATAGCCGTAACCCCATACTATAACCAATACCAGCACCAAAATTCGGTCTCCTGGCTCTGGAGGCTGAAATGCAGACTTATCTGTCCGGAGGTGGTGACCTGTGAAGTAGGTTCCAAGGGATCCAACGCTTCCCATCGTCAACTGGTCGGACTGGAAGCTTCCCATCGTCGACATGGGTCAACGCTCGGGTCAGCTGTTCCGGTCGCATGGCGTAACAGAACTTTTGCGGATCAGTTCAGTAGAGTTCACCCATCAAACTACACCCTGGTGAAAGTGAGACTCCAAGCACCTGATGGAACATGATTTCATACCTCTATAATCCTCTATACTTCCGGAAGAATATTGGGACCCATCATGTTGAGATCAAACCCCACCACGGTTCGAAGCGCCGCAACCGGTGGTGACCAACCGGTGATGTGTTCGCACAGCCACGGCTCTGCCAGGCTTGGAGCTGCAAGGACACGTTCCCCAAGGTCCGACTCATTGGAATCACCGTCACCGAGGCCTGGCGGGCTCGAGGTCGGGTGGACAGGAGGAGGTGAAGTCCGAAATTCTTCACATCCGTACTGGCTGAGCATAGGCATAGACCCGGATGAGAAGGCGAAGTCCTTGTGGTTCGGACCGGTGGTTCGGACCCAAAGGGCCGGACCGTCGCGGTGTTCAGAACGAGCCGTCGCCCTTGTTCTTCGACTCAGGAAGGTCCAAAACATCAGGTCGGAGGTCGGAGGTGCCGGCATGGTTGGTGCAACGGTGCTGCAACAGTGCAAACAACTCTCTGAGGAATGAAAGGCAAACATCCTCAGGTGATAACCTCAAAAAATTACCAAGAACGAAGTCCGTCATAGTTCATCTTTTATGCTGTTTTACTCGAAACAATTTATGTTATGCCAATTAGGCTGTTACAAGATCCAAACGGATGGGATTGCACAACCTGATAAGACTATACCCATACCAATATTATACCAATGGGATCCGTATATAGAGGGTATACTAAAACATACAAAAACACTCTTGTATTGTGAATATGTGAAATTATTGGAGCTAGTATTCTCTGCAGAACATCAGCAAGAGCAACACCTTGATCTATGTGGTCGTCTCATACGTACATCGGCTCCCAGGAGAAGATAAGGAACCAAACAGCTGGCGAGAGAAGTAGAATTGGTGTGATTAATGTAGACTCTTTATTAACAAACTCACTCATTTGAACTGGAAATCCTTTTCATCTGGGAGGTTAGTTTATTAAATAAGAGTCTACATTACTGTAAACGCATCCCCTTGTCAGTTCGCGGGGTGATACCAGTAGCTCCAAGAATTCCAGACCTAGCACCTGCCGGGGAACATGGCCTTGACCCATGCACATGACGTGCACGTGGCAGGCGCTTCTCTTAAAGAACATGTCCATCCGAGTCCATCAGCTTTCCCAAGCGTGAGACTGCCACGCCCTTCCGGGCGGCCGTTGCGCGTGAGACGGCCGCTCCCCACCGTCGTCTCCCCCACCGGCGAGGAGACACGGCGTCCTTCTCCGACGAGTCGGCCGACTGAAGGCGGATCTTCCGGGCCATCGCGACGAGTTGGAGCGAAGGGCCGAGCGAAACGCTACGATCGGGGGCTTTTGGCCTTACTACGAAGGGAGCAAGAGTTTGCTACTAGGGGCTCCGGGCATCGCTACATATAATTTGCTACTCTAGAGTCCTCATTTAAGAAAGCCACAGGCCAGCCGCCCAGCCCATGACCCGCTACTGCGCGCGGTGGGCGGCCATGACCCGCGGAGGCGGCGCCTTCTCATATCCCACAGGGTCAGGCAAGCCGTCCATGATGACCTGGAATGTAGACGAGCAAAATGACCAGCGTGCACTGTTTCTGTATAGGGTTACAAGTTGTGATGTTACTGTCAAAACAGAAGCATTTGGCATCATGTCCATGTTGCGGGAACTTTTGAAGGGACCATACAAAACGCTGTTGTCAGTGGGTCAGTAGGAATTGTGCGGTAGATCTCAACTGGAGCTTCTTCTTCTCCGAATGTTGTATATACCCCAGGGCATCCAGTTACCACTATAGCCTATAGCTGGTAACCAGTGGTTCCAAAGACTAAAACCATAGACCTAGAATCCCTGGTTCCTTATATAGTGGTAGCTGGGATGCACTGGGTACCCTATACCAGGACCGACACCGTTTGAGGTAGAGGCGCCTCTTAGAGGTGAGTCGAGGTGTCCAAAAACCACCTGTTGGAAGGTCCTGGTAGAAGTCTATAAAGACTCATCTATGTCGGATAATGTTGGAATGCATTTGGCATCATCGCAGTATAGGTCATGTCTTTTCGGGTCACCTAAAGACCATGTTAAACGGAACACCTCCCAGTCTTCAATATATATATATATAGGGAGACCCTCAACAACGCCCGGAAGAAGGGAAAGAGGGTCCAAAGGGTTGGTTTCTGGGTCCAAAACAGGGCCCCTCAACAAAACAGGAACAACACAGACCAGGGGAAAACCAAAGAGGCTTCTCTGTTGACCCCTCTTTGTGTTTGGTCCCCCTGTTTGGTCCCTTTTTGGACCCATTTACGCACCGGTCCCGACCGGTCCCGGTCCCGGTCGGTCCCGAAGTCCCGTCCCAGCGGCTGAGGACGTGGGTGCCAAACGCCTCGCGACGTCCGAAGGAAGGGCGGGTTTGGGGGGTTCGCCAAGACTAGATTGGAATTGGGGGTCGATTTCGCGAAATCCCCAAGGGTTTCTGGGATGTTTTGGGCATCAACGTAAAGAATGAAGCGCTGAAATCAAACGCTAGCATATAGCCACTCAGACTGGGGACTAACTGACTTGTTGTTTTTTCCGTCATGTCAAACGGGGTGAAGATGGGTGAAGCATGACTTCGGTCGGTCGTGATTGTCCGGTGTATCGATCGGTCCGGTCTGACCGGAACCCCAAGTCGCCTTCTGTCTGAAGATCTGTGGCGAGGGTTTAAGTGATGAGGTTCTCTTCCATCGAGGAAACCTCACACATCCACAGATCATCGCCTTGAAATCGTTGGAAACCCAGCCAGTGCGATTCCAAAAACACCTCCGCGGGGTTCCCCCCGGTGCCTGGCATCCTCCGGTTTGCGATCCTTGCCCTCTGACCTCTCGAAGAAGGCTCTCATCCAGCCATGACCTCGGTGCAGCTCCGACGAGGGCGCCCGAACCACACGGATGGCGCAGGCGCCCGGCGCGAGTCGGCTTCCAGGTCCCAAACCGAAGGTCCGGAAACTGCTGTGTGGATTGTTGGTGTCTCAGCGTAGAAAGAGTCAAGAAGGATGTTCGGCCCAAGAAACAAACACATGTATACACATGTCACATATCCCTAGAGCTTCCAAAGAGTGTGAATATTGAAATCCGATATTATGGGTTGATGGAATCCCAACGTGTTGATTGATGTCTCCACCATCTCCACCACGGAAAATAGAAATAAGAAAAACACATCCCTGCACCTTCTGTAAGGAGTGTCTACTGAAACTTGTTTTGGATATCGTGTATTATCGCGTGATGTAGCCCAGGCATGCCCAGGCCCAGCAATTCTGGTAGATGGATTCAGAAGGAATCACGGAGGTCTGCATCTTCGAGCCAACCAAGTGCTTAGTCTTCGGCGAGAATGATTAGCAACCCATAGCCTTCTGAAATAAAAAAACAACAAACATTCAAAGAGTTCGGTTGACCTGGTTTTGTAGTCCAAAATCCTTGTAGTCAAACAATGGATAACAAGGTTGTCCTGCATCGTTGTATAAAACACTGTTGTTGTTGAAAGCCTGGGGATGTGTGGGGTAACCAATTTGATTGGATAGGTCCTGTACTTATGACCAGAATGCCGGTTCTTGCCTTGCGGACGAAGCATCAGATTAATCTATGATTGAGCAACCAAGGGTTCCAATTGAACTGCTGCAGCAATCCACTGAACCAATCGAATTCCTCATATAATATATAATTGCAAATGCCCTTGAACCATGATCTCTACTCGAATATGATTTAGACTTCCAGTACCCAAAGAAGAGGTTTTGGATGCTGGATCTCTGCAGTGTCCGTTGCGCGGCCGGTTTTTCAGGTGGTCTTTGCTCCCAGTGACGACTTCTCTTCGTCTTCTTGCTGGGCAAGCCCTCCAAACCGCCCTGCAAGACCCTGCGCGCCTGCGGCAAGCCCACCCCGCTGTTCTTCCAGAGTCGGTTCAGGTTTGGTGCAAATCAAGCGATGATCTGTGGATATGAAAGATACGCGGACTGGATTGCAAACGACCTTCAGTGCTCCAAGGTATACTTAGAGTCAGAGATGTACTGGAGGACTTCAAGCATCTATGACTACAGTAACTTCTTGGGATGCAGTTGGAGTTTTAGGGAGATTTTTAATGGAGGCTCACTTTTCTATTCATTCTAGGATCATGAAAGACAAATCTCGCAATGGGCAGTAGATATACTGCAGCTCATGGTAGGCACAGATGGGAAAACACCATAATTGCAAGATGAACCTTTCTTTGGATGAAGGGCCACGCTTTGGCTCCAAATCCGGAAGAAAAGGCCCTCCATGGCGTCCGTCACACCATATATCCACGTCGTGTGGATCCACACGTTCAACTGGTGGAGCTCAAAGTTAAAGGACTGACTGAAGCATTTTCCACCTGTTCTGTTCTTGGTTCAGTGGGACACTCAGACACTCCCCAAATGAAACGCGAGAGCGGCGGACTAGATTTTTGCGGGGTGATGTTCACTTTCCGATATTTAAAATTCAAATTGGGGCATCTGGAAAAAGCACACAAACCCTGCTGGGTCACCTGGACCCTAGGTCTCCGGTCTCCAATCGATACCCAGCTCCAGAAGAGGGGACCCGTACGTACGGATGACATCGGGCCAGACTTAGGTCCTGGAAGGCAGCCAGGAATTCCTAGATCTTCCAACGTAAAAAATGTCTGTCTGTTCGTCTATAACACCAGCCGAACTCGGTCTTCGTTTCGCTTCACTTCGTTTCTTCGTTCGTTTGAGCCCAAGAATTCGAGACCCTCCGCATCCCAAGTCCTCAAATCTGCCCTGGGCCGGCTTCGGTCGCCCGCACCTTGCGCGGCAGATTGCCCACGCGGCGGTGCCGAGCCCGGGCTCGGCGTTGCTTGGAGGGCTTGGAAGGCTCCAGCGCCTGGCCGACGGAAGGCGAGCAAGGGAACTTCGGAGATGATTCCAAAGTTTGGGAGTGAAAAAGACGCATGGTTTTCTGTAGATCTTCCCTTAAACCAATCCCATTGAATGATGAGACTCCCAGTTTGGAGGCTCAAAATGCCACGAACACCGAGAAAAACAAAACGATGTTCAGCATCATTTTCATATATAGGTTTTCCAATTGTTTTCCCCCCTATCGTCGGAGTCGCTTTCGCCTGCTCGACGGATCTTGCTTTTGGTCGCATTCTCATGTGTTTTTTGGGTTTGCCGGCTCCCAATAGCAAGCGAAACGGAGACAGGCTGATTCCGCAACAAAACCTCAAAAAAAAAACAATAAAGCAAATATTTGTTGATAAGACGATGGTAGATATTGGTAGATGTCATAGAGTTTGGTAGAGTCTGTAATATGCACTGGTATAGAGTCTGGTAGGGCATCCCTGCCATGTTTAGAGATAAGACGATCGAATATCCCCTCCGCCCAGGGCGAGTGTATACGCGTTCCATCTGGATTCTTCTCGGCTGTGTATACGCGTTCCATCTGGAGAATAACACCGAAAAAGAGAATAGTAGCTCCCGCCTGCCAAGCAGTAGTGCTTCCAGTCAAGCTGGAGCCTCTAAGCCGGTCGAGCCACTGGTAGGCTGACATCAAATAGCCCGGCCGCCCTGGAGGAGATGCCGGACTGGCAAACATGCCGCCGCGTTTGTTCGCAACAAGCGCAGGTCCGAGGGCGGACTCTGACTGCTCTTGGCTTGTTGGATGGTTTTGGCATAGGGCGGATGTGAAACCTGATGAAACCTGATGCTAATGAAACATGATGAAACTCTCTCTTGATGTCAACGACATTGAGTTCCAAAGACCACTCACTTGGACCAGCGCAGGTTGCCTTCTAGCTGTTCATCCTTTGGAACCATCCCTGAACCCTAATGATCTGATCTCAAATCCAGCATACTTCACAAAAAGTCATGGCAACATCGACTTCCCAAAACCTCCTCCCTCCATGCTCCTCTGTATCATTACGCTCTTCACAGTTTCTTTTTGTTTCTACAGAATCCAGAATCAGAAGTATAAACCAGAATACCGTCACTACAGTGTACAGTTCCACTGTTGAATTGAACTGTGTCTCCATCTGGGGATCTCTCTGTGAGACCTCTGGCGACCCCAACCTACCGACCCCTCAACCCACTCACCACGATCTCCGGTCCATTCCCAGCGCCTGGGTACAGTGCGTCGTTTGAGTTGGGGTCGAGACTGGTCTCGCTAAGCCGGCGGTGAACCTCCCAGCCGTTCAGCACCGGGTCATAGTTGTAGGCCCTCTCACCTGGCAGTCCATCGCAGTCTTTAGGGATCCACATACTGCACAGACCTTCGCAGAAGGAACTTGGACGACCCTCCAAACCTACATAGCATAACAGTGTCTCCAATCACCTTCAGACAAGGTACTTGGATCCCTACAAGTAGGGAGTGTTCATGAGCGAATTAGATTCTCTCTAGATACCCGAGGAAAGGCCGCTATAGCCGTGGGAAGCGTTCTGATGCGGAAGTCGCGAGTGCCATGGCGAAGAGACCTTTATTTGGACACTCCGAACATCTTCCCATGATGCATATTTGGAAGGGCCAAGCTGGGCCATGCAAGTTGAAAACTGCAGGTGGGGAGACTTGCTCGACCATGTGGGACATCAGTTAAAAGGGACATGTAAGACAGTTGGAGGGGCTATCTTCACATTGATCAAGAGGTGTCAATATCATGCCCAATCCACGACCTCTTATGTCCTTTCCAGTTCCCCATCATGTCCTTTGCACAAGTTGTCCGGGAGTTGTCCACGACTATAGCCTATAGCGGCATTTCTTTCATCCATCGGATTTCATCGGCTATAATTTTGTGATATGTTGTGCATCCTTGGAATTCCCTGCAAAGTACCTGTTCTTCTAGGTCGTCATGGGCTTGAATACGGTGGTTGGCTATACCAGAAAACTCAGCCAACGGTGTGGAAGGAGCCTCAAACTGGAAGAACTTCTGCTCCAGCACTTGTCTCAAGGAACATTTTCCGGTTTGCTTCACCCTGACATCAACCAGTCTTCACCCTGACATCAACCGGTGAGAAGTTCGAGATCGGCACCTTGGTCGTAACAGGTGGCGCCGGAGACGTAGATGCAGGGCTCGGCGGGACTGCTGATGACCTTCAGCCTGACATCGAGCGAGCCGAGTGGATTCTGAGGCCAGGAGCCCCTAGTTAGTAGCGTCCTTGCTCCTAGTAGCGATGCCAGGAGCCCCTAGTAGCTTCTTGTTCCTAGTAGTAAGGCCAGGAGCCCCTAGTAGCGTCATTGCTCCTAGTGCAATGCCTTTTTTTGGAGCAAAAGGTGGCAAATGTTTGGGCACGGTTGGTGGGCAAGGCAGTATGAGCATGCTTCCCAAGCTGCAATGTCAGGAATATGCATGATATATATTCTTTTTTGGTCGGTGAATTGATTGTCTGCCTTACCTTTGCCTTTCAAACCTGGAAGCTTCCCCTTTTTAGTAACTAGAAGTTTGCCAAAACATTGGCAACTCATAACAACAACAACAACAACAACAACAACAACAACAACAACAACTGCAGCAGCAGCAACAACAGCAGCAGCAGCAGCAACAGCAACAGCAACAGCAACATCAACAAGAAAGGCAAGGAACAAAAAGAAACAAACATATATGCATATGTTGCAAGAGAGAGAGAGAGGGGGAGGGAGACAGAGGGATGTATAGAGTCATAGTGTGGAAGGTTTCTTCGTTCGTGGGGGCTCTTGTGCGACAATCAGGGCTTCAGAGGTTGCCCAGAATCGAATGGCAGCTCCATACACTATAGGTGCATCATGACTGTGCGTCTCATAGGAGTTTTGAAGTGGGTATGATGTACACGGTGAAGGTAAAAATCACCCAGATATTCCAATGTGGATCCACAACTTGAAAAAAAACAACCTAAAAACACGCACTAAACACGCAGAGTTACGAAAAGCATTCACAAACTTGAGTCACCTACCTTCAACAAACAAAGATAATCACTGTCTTTGCAAAATCAGGCCCCCCAGCTGCATCTTTATATGAAATAACCCTCTGCACCCACACAGATGAAATGGATTGAACTTGATACCTTGGTATCCTGTTTCAGGGCTCCTCTCAATGTCTCATTGTACACTGCAAGAACTGAACACCCTCCCAACAAAGGCACCGAGTTCCTCAGTTCCACCCCACGAACTGACTCCTCCTCCTCACCCTCCACACCAAGGTGCAGCGAGCCGCCCAGAAGCGTGAGCTGTCGACTTGGCAGCAAACTCTCAGTGGTGCCTGGAGGACGAAAACCACGCTTTGGCGTGTCGACAAACAAAGAAGACTCTCAGTGCTGCTCTTTGGTTGACTGTCTGACTGTCTGAGAAAAGTGATCCAACAAATGGATACAAATGGTCTGGGTCAGAGTTGAGTGAACATGATTGGACATGGGCTTCGTTTTCCAAACGGCTCGTTAATCCTTCCGTGGGCATTGAGTTTCCGTGATCGACGATGCCAGTGAGAAACTTAACGAAAGACACGGCCGGATACCTCGAGCCTGATCTCAATCCGCATCAGGGTCTGTCCGACTCTGTCCCAGCCATTCCGGGATGTTTGCCAAGCAATGCCCCCAGATTGCATGGACCTGATTGCATGAAAACCCTGTATAAGTGACACAAGAGGCCAATTCTTGCCAGCCCCAATCGCGTTACAACAGGAAATGAGGTACAAACAGGTGCAAGAGGTAGAAATGGTATTCTCTCTCCTGCCAACCCCTTTGCAATAAGAGGGTCTACCGTGTAAACAAATATTCAATAGACCGCGGCAAGTGTCTTCACTAAATGATTGGTCGCATACAATCTGGGCACATGTTGCAAACATCGCCATTCCGCGATTTGGGATTGGACCATTAAAGTCATATTTACAGTCGTACTGAAACCAACCAAAAAACGATCGAACCGAGCTTTGATGAATCAACAACTGCAATTGGGACAAGCAATGATGGAGGTTTTGAGACGACAGCAACAACAGCAACCTCAGCAACTCCTTCCAATCATGTTCTCGATCATTTCCCCCCCCCAAACAGCGGGTCGGCAACCACTCCAACCCGAAAACGACCGGCCCAGCGAGACCGAAACGGGAGCGCGGAGGAACGCGGAGTTAGGAGCGTTGCGGAGTTGCGCCTGCAGCGTTGGGCGCAGACCAAAGAAAAGGGAACCAGCTCTGTTCCATCCACTCGAACCTTCGCAGCGCACATCGGGGCGACCATCGGATCTCCGGCGTCGAGCGACCGCTGGACCGGGGGGAAGAGCGACCTGAGACCCGAGAAGGAATTGGATGCATTGAAGCGATGTTGGCGGGCGGGGCAGTCAAAGAAAATACAGTTAAACACACGTGCACACACAAACACAAACACACCAAACATAGGGGTGTCACCAACGTCCTGGTCGCCACTGGACATGTGAAAAAATGATCGTCCCAGACCTCCCGGACTCCGCCTCTCGGACTCGGTTTCAACAGGACAGTCTGCCGAACCCGAATGAAACGAACGGCTGCAAGCTCTACCAAGCAGCATGAACCAAGCACCATGAACCAAGTAGCTCTACCAAGTCAGTCTTCTTTACCTTTTCGCATTGTTACTGCCGAAGCATGACTGGTGCAACTCAGCGGCATCTGAGGAATCTCGTTCACCTCCGTGGCTGCGTCGGTGAGTTGAATCCTCAAGTTCCTGAGTCCGACATCCATCGTGGGCTCTTGGAAGCTTGACACTGGATAGGTTCAGCCCCAAAGAAATACATGACACTGGATGAGGCTGATGCTGATGATGATGATGATGATCATCATCATCATCATCATATCATTTACACCATGATTCCTTTCTTTACGCCCGGCAGCCATTGCCCACCTTTTGGTCTACCGATCTTCGACTGCTGTTTTTGGCAGCAGTCGAAGCCCGACCCACTCCATCCACTCCACTGAGCCTCAAGTCTGGTTTCACCATCCCTAGGGATCCAGTCGTACCTTCTCAGGTACGGTGATTGGAGACTATTTATGTAGGCGCCAGGAGGGCCCAGTCGTACCTTCTGAGAAGGTATGTGGATCCCTAGGGCATGCTTTCCCTTAAACAACTTGTCTTTGTCACTACAAGCTGAGAATAACGGGTTGAGCATATATGACTAGCATTGTGGAGCTCAGCAGGGGAGTGGGGAAACCAATGAACGTGGCTTGCAAATCTGATGATCCTACCTCTCTGTTGATTCCCCCAAACAAATGTAGCTTCAGCTTGGGGTTCTTGGTGCAATTTGGTCGGTTGATGTTGGTTACTATATGTCACATCAGCTTGTGTTGCAGAAAAGAAACAAACACGTCGAACAATTCAACATACAAAAATATCCCGTTTGGCACTTTCACTAAGTTCCACTTCTCCAGTAAGACCATTTTTCCGGTTTGGGTTGGTTGAAGCCAAATCCACACTGATTGGCCGTGCACATTGTATATATTGGCGCAATCGACCAACAACCTGCCCTGCCGATCTCACCATGGCGCACTGAGTCATAACAAATACCACATCTCTGAAACTGCAGCCCAAATGGACAAAGGATCAAAAACCACCTAAAACCTCACGTCCTGTCCAACACCACCTGTCCAACCTGCCAATCGCCGACGTGTGGCTTTTCTTGCAAATGGACAGCATAGGTTCGGTAATGCCTCAGTCCACTCAGTGAGTCTTCCAGCGGTGCCACGGGGGGCGGGCCACGCCCGTTTGCGGGCGTGCCCAGCTCGGTTCTGAGCCTCGAAGTACCGAGCCTGGACCACTAAGGCTATGGCCCCATAGGATTGCTTCTTATATTATTCTATAATATATCCCATACACGACTAATGGGACTGGTATATATGCCGATCAGTTGACCCCCCAAACCATCCCAATGTAGGCATATATTCCATACATGGAGCGACTGAGTATATAGCAAGTATAAAGATGTATAAATAGACAAGTTTATACAAGTTTGATGAACAGGCATCATTTGGTCAAACCTCTCCAGGCTTGGTGTTTCGCCAAAAAGTCCGAGAGTCCATTCCGTTCGGTTTTACACGGACCGATATGGTTTGAAGGCCGATATGGTTTGAGGTCACCTGTCGTCCGAAGCATAAGAGTGGCCTGGTCTGAGCCTTCCCGCGGAAGATTCACATACCCATAGATGCCAATGGTCGTGGATACCTATGGATTCAACCCCCTGGCTCGCCAGTTCAAGCTTTGACACATGGATGTCTGTTTGCCAAGCGGCATCTGACAGGCTGCGGAGAACAGCAAAAAGAAAGCCAAACTCATGAGGAACGAGAAGGTCGTCCGCACCTGCGGGCCCCGGGCGAGTGGACATGAGTGGAGTTCGATCGGAAGGCGTGGCTTCTACCACCGGAGAGAGGAAAAACATGCCGAGGAAACATGTACAGTATGGAACATGGAGGGAAAACACACCTGCTCATAGAGGATTTCCCTCAGTGAATTGCTATTTGAAATTGTGTGGATTTCACCTGTGGCACCACCTGTTTCGTGCTTCAGTGCTGAAAGCGCGGCTCTGAGGACTTGAATTGAATCCAGGAAGCAGGGCAAGAAAAATAAGATACCCAGACGCTCCAAACAGCCCTTGGTCCCTCAAAACCCTATAGGGATTTTTGAGGCTCCGGACCCCTCCAAAGGATTCGGGTCCGGCCCCTACTGAACCGAGGCTGCAGGGTCGCGTCTGGGTAAGTCAAGTAAAACGCAGCGGAATTCCCCCAGCTCGGGAAGTCTAAACCTCACCCGATCCGTCTCCAGGAGACCATCCCAATGCACATCTTCTGCCACGACGACGACCATCGAATGAATGGCCGAAGCCAATGCTGCGACTCCGACCGGGAAGTCAATGGCACCCCAAAAACCAAGAAAAGCCAATGCCCCCTTAAAACCTCGTCCTTCAACCGAGCTGGCACCGTGCCCGATTTCGTGGCCGCCCACAACGCGCGCCTCGCCCTGCAGTTCCAGGACAGCTGGCAGTAGGACGCGCTTCGCAGCGCCACCTTCGCAGCGCTTAGCCGAGGGTTTCTTCATGTGTCACCGCAAATGAAACGGAACATCGACCAGGGAAACGAACATGTACCTGGGTCATCCTGTTTGGGTGTCCAATAGACTACCCTACGCTGCTAGACTGGACCTCCATGGGACACACCCATTGGATGATCCTGGTATGATCATATATGTGTACAAACGTTGCCGCTCTTCCAAGAGTGTTTTATCAATTGAACTGGCGCAGGATCTTTCTTATCAACCATCAGCTATATTGACCTCTCATGCAGCTTCCTCAAGCGGTTCAAGCACCCAAAATGCCAAATGTAAAAGAGCTATGAAATGATATACTGTATGTCCACCTCCTCTCAAGTAATTAGGAGCGACTTAACATCTGAATCTAACAGTATTGGATCCTCCAAATAGCAGAACACCCTCTCGCTTCGGCAGCCACATGGCAACCTACTCAACATCATCAAACGTGCACCCTGCCCATGTCCGTCATTTGACCACTTTCCCACAGGATCCCTCTGTGCCAACCTCCGAATCCGCATCCAATTCCGGAGATGCTCTCTGCCATGGTGAGAGTTTTCGGTTGTGACGAATCGTCGTGCTGTCCCTGTGACGATAAGAGTCAAGGGGTCGATGCCACTTACCTACCAAGTGGCTGTACACGTGGGGTATCCTGGTGTCCCCTCCCATCAACCAAGCAACACCGTCTAGGTCCGGCCATCTACGTTGACCTATGAAAACGACATGTGCTTCATGCGGGTTCCGCAGGAAGCCTCGGATGCCCATGGTGACCACCTTCGCTTCTTTGGCTACTTTGCTATTCAAGCTCTGCCCCGTGGTGATGTCACCTTGGCAGCTTCATGTCGAAAGCGAGATCAACGTGCACGCGATCCGCGACCGTTCAGACCCAAAGGCTGGGAGACAGAAGATCTGCCTGGAGGTGTTGGAGGGTCAGTCAAATACCCTTCAAGGCTCAGTCCCTACCTTCGTCTACGTGGATCCGGGTGAAGATGAGGAAAGCGTGCCAGATCCGCAGGATGGAAAGCGGGCTGTTTGAAGATGCTGAGCACATGTGGAGAAGGTCAAGATCAGCAGGCTGAACTGTTGAGATCAGCAGAACATGCTTTGTTTCACTTGGGGATGGATTTTCTTACCAAACAATGCGAGAAAATGTTGTGCTGCTATAGATTGGTGTAAGTCTCACAACAAGGGAGCGTCAAACCAGTAAATGTTGGAATCTTTGATGTCCAACCGACCTTCTTGGAGCTTTGTAGCTGATGTCATTGACTAGCTGCCTAGCTACAATGGGCCTCCATTAGGTAGATTTAATATGATTTAATAGATTTTAATAGTATATCCATCTTCGAGAAATCCCGTTCCAACACTGAATCAACCTTCACTCCATCTATCCTCTGAAGTTGCTTGATACGTCTGAGGGCAGGCGCGGTCATTCCCAAGTAGCAACCGCCAAGAGTCAACAGCCCAAAAGCAACAAATGATAAGGATCCGTCAATGCGGCGCCCCACAGGCAACCACCAACACCGCCAACAGATCAGGGCAAGGGCGCCAAGGTCACCAAGCAGAAATCGACCACCCAAACGAACCACAGGCGCAACAAACGGCGCAATGCTTGCCTTGCCTTCCCGGGAAAAGGCGGCCGAGGGGCAAAGGCAGGCCTCGCCATCGGGAAATGCCTCCTTGTTCTTCTCGTGTTTGGCCTCGGCCTTGTTCGCATGCTCAAGACCTGGGAGAATGCCCAGCGCTTGACTCTCGCGCGGAGCTAGAAAGCGCGCACAGAAAAAACCGGACCGGGAAAGCACAAAGGGTTCGGTTTACGATGCCGCAGCTGGGGACACAATTTTAATCAGGTTAAATACATATGGCGCATGCCATATCTTGTGTAGAACCACGTTTAGACTGTTGGCTTGTTTTTATTCCTTTATGAATCAACCGTCTACATGACCAGGGACACCGAGTGACACAGTGCCACCATGGGAAGATTGGACTCTCGACTCTCAAGTTCCAGCCTGAATGTCTGGAGATGACTGTGCTTCATAGTCCCTGATTGGGGGACAGTAACACCTGCTGTTGGATGCCTTTCAGTTTAACAATTCTAACCATGGATTGATCATGATTGATCTACTCCAATGGAACCACTCAACCAGATCATTCACCAAGGTGGAAGATGGTGGAAGCCCCCCGAAAGTGTGATCGGAACATCGTCTCCTGCTTTTTCCCAGACACGACTAATGGGACTGCCGTATATGCCGCCCCATTGACCCCCCTGGCACCACCCTAGGCATATATGGCAGTCCCATGGAGTGTCTGGGTTTGGGTGCCAAATGCCACGTCAACGTCGATGTGTCGCTGCTGTCGGGAGACATCCAGTTCGCCAAGTCTATAGAGTCTAGAGTCTGTGCCACCCGACGGCATCCACATGATCCCCAGACACTCCATGAAACGGGCAGCCAAATGGCTGGGGGTCATGGCACTGGGATCCCAAGAAAGGCTGAACAAGAGTCAACTCTCGGCACCAGCACCATGGCTCGATGACTTAGTTGCCGGAAGTATCGAAATTATATATGGCCGGCCCATATATCAGCATACTTAAGCCTTATTCCACAAGCCTCCTCCCTCTTTCAGAGGATCTTCCTATGTAAAAGACGTCTGTTGTTGTGCCCCCAAACGGATGGAGAGGCCCAACGACCTCCTCGCTCGCTCGCTCCGCCCTTGACGGCCGAGGCTCTAATGGACTGCGTGGCCCGAAGCTCATGTCGAATCTTCGTCTCCAACTTATCCTGGTAAAAGCCAGTGAACGTCTTAAATCGTTTCCTTTATTTTTTGTGTGTGTGTTCGTTCAAAGATTTAACAATATATATATATTGTAATATATATATATATTATTAGTGGTCTGGTCTGTTCTTTTTTTCCTGCGTTGAAATGCATTGAAAGGGGTTCAGGTCTCAACATAGCAAATAACATTCACACAGGATTTAATAAGACTTCTATACACTTGTTTTGGCTCTTGATCTTGGAATATACCCCTGATATCCTAGTGGATTGTCACCCCAGTCAACAGAATCAGGCTAGCCTTCATGTAGTAATTACTATAAACGATAATGGACCATAAATTGATCTATAGACACCCCAAGGAGTGGGTTTTGGACCCTAAGGCTTGAACTTGGTTAACAAACCTCCCGGTATACCACCACTTGGTTTTTAGGTGTCAATTCCTTTGACCCAAAGACACCAATACAATACAAACAATGCCCCCTACCTTAGGGGGGGGACTAGGTCCTTTTGAGTTAATTGCAGTCCTTTTGAGTTAATTAAATTGAGACTAGACCAGTGTAAATTGATGTTTTACATGGTAATTAATTTGGCAATGAAGGGGAGTGTTTATGATGGTTCGTAGCTGGATGAGGAAATTTCATTTGAGACTCAGTACCCCCCATTATTTTTAATTCCTAGGGCTGGGGGCATTACAAACATCACCATGTCTAGACTACCTGGTAGATCCTGGTAGAGATCTTCCATTTAAAACTCCCATATTGAAATGGTGTCCATGCCGATCATGAAAAACACCTCTATATCACTGGTGTTCCAGTCTCTCGGCGCCCAGGGGGGTCGGTCGCCGGGCACCGCGGCGCGGTGTGAATGACCAAACGGACACGTCGGAAACGTGGGACACCTGACAGAACTGTCGTCGGAACTGGCACGGTTCCGAACTGGAAGTCGGTCCTGGTAGATGAAGTTCTTCAAGGTGAAGGCATGCACCTCGCTATTGTCGTCGGGCCCCAAGAAGCTCGCTTTCCTGGACGGTTTCCGAAGGGAGCTTTGCGGTTTGGGAAGTGGATGCCATGCCGGTGAAGAAGAGCTTCCACATCCGACCAGGTGTGAGATCATGATAGGGCTGTAACGTCATGGCACCTGGTGCCAATTCTTTTTTGTTTTGACACCCTGCTTACTTCTTGGTCAACCTGTGGGTCGTCTAATATAACTTTCATGTTCAGTGGTCAACCAGGCCCCCATCACCATCGTGAACAAGCTCACTTCGACGTAGACTGTGACTCGACCGAATCCGCCGTTCGAGTCGACTCGACCACGCATCGACGCGCAACGACTCGTCTCATGGTGCAACAAGTCATCCATCGCGGCGCCGTGGCGACCGCCGAATCAACATGTTAGTTATAGCAGCTGCTAGCTGAATCCAAGGATGATAAGTGCATCTTCGCAAAGGCAACAACGATGTTCAACACAAACAATTCCACATCAAATGTTACTGATTCATGTACGTTTCTAGTCTATTTGCAACATTTCTGGTTGGTTGGGGTTTGAGTTGGCTTGGGTTGGGTTGGTGTGGTTGGGTTTGGTTGGATTGGTTGGTTGGATTGGTTGCTTAGGTTTGTTGGTTGGGGTGGTTGTCGGGTTGGGTTTGGAGGGTTGTTTGTTTATTTGTTATCTTTCTTCGGTCGGTTGGTTGGTTGGTTGGTTGGTTGGTTGGTTGGTTGGCTGGAAGACGCAGGCTCTGAGAAGAAGCACATGTCAGGCAGGTAGTTTTCAAACTTGCTTTCTACTGCATGGTCAGAATACATTATCATACATTATATCATACATTATCATTAATATTCTTGTTCGCTTTATGCTAGCATCCTGCGGCTTGGACAGTCTATATAAAAGTAATTACTTGGAGACTAGATGAACCGGCTGAAGTTTCATGGACTTTCCCTCATAAAACGAGACGTAGGAGGTGCCCCTCGAGTTGTCTTGTTCACAGATCGATCTACGTTTCGAAACCCAGAAGCTCACAACGTCTTCCAGCTGAACCCGCCGTCGGATGATGTGCAAAAGGACATTGTCAGCTTGAAACGACTATGGAAACAAAAGACTACAGTACCATGGCATACCAGGGCCCCCGGGTTGGGGTGGTTCATGGACATCCCGAATCACCTCTAAGGAGCTCCAGCTTGGACACCCCAAGTACCCGGGGGGGCCCTTGGTATAGGAACTTCTTCAGGAGTCTTTTGGGCCGAACCGACGAAGTCACCGGGATGAGATCGGGGGGATGGGAGGATGACATGGGACAGTCCGCGAGATGGAAACTTGGAAACATGAAAAGACATTCCAGACCATACAATACGCTGGGGTGGTTGACCTGGGTCCAATTTATAGGTGCTTCAGTTCCATGGATGATCTGGGAAGATCTGCCATAGAAAAAAAGGAAAACCACGTGGAGCTCCGTTCCTTTCGCATGGCTCACGTCCTTCCGCGTCTGTTTTGCGTCAAATCCCGATCGATCGAACGTCCCCGGGCGCCTCAACGTCTTCGAGGACACGTCGGAGGATAAGCTCTGCCGTGATGCGGAGGGCGACAGCTTGGGCACCGTCGGCGAGGTCGCCACCGGTGGCGAACCTGGCGAGGTGGCGCCTAGAGACCTGAAAGGACCGGTTAGGACCATGGCTTATAGCAAGTACGTACATACCTGGACCCTCCAAGGGCTGTCCTGGCTGGACTACCCCACACTACCTATAGTTGGGCTTCCAGACAGGGCACCCCTTGGAGGGTCCTGGTAGGTGTTTGTTTGAGAAGTCCTTGTTTTTTTGGGGGGTATTGGCTCCATCTATCATCATATATCGAAACCATTCTGGGGGTATCAGGAACTATGAACCACGGATCGAGGACGATGACCTTTACCCCCTGGGCCAACCACGCATGCTTTGAGCCTTGATTCAACGAGCATCAACAGATATCAACACTGTACAGGCCACATAGTCTGGTATGAGCGTGAATCTGCGTGAATCCTCTTCACGTGATTCACCGGATACCTGAAAAAAAAAACATGCCTCGTGAGTTCTTTTACGGAAAAAGTAACAACAAATAAAACACCCTGGCAGCCAGGTTTCCAGGTTTTTCTGGGAGGCCCTTATTTTGACTCGACATGACCCGACATGGACTCGACGTGAGAAAAGACAACCAGAGTCCACGGCTTGGAAGCAGCGGTCTCGATGCCTGCTGGTCCTGGGAAGTGGTTTTAATCTTTCCCGACTCCTCGAAGCCAAGCTCGATGGAGGCAGCGGACCTGCACTGGACCTATACATTGATCTATATAGAGTGGCTAACATAAACACTGAAGCCACCAAAATACAAACAGTTCTGTTATGTTCTGTTGCTCACCTTTCTAACTAACTGATGATGCCATAAAATTGCATCGACCTCCTGAAGGACTGCAAACCTGCACTGCCAACAAGGCTGAAACGCCAGAAAGTATACCCTATATATGAGTCATATGTTCTTTTGCGTCCACACAACCAGTGCCCTTTCCACCTGGAAGAGCTTTCCGAACATTCCGGCCTGTGCGGTCTAAGGCCATGGCAACTCTAGCGTTGCGACTGGCGCCGGCGCCGGCGGATTGTGCCAAAGGGGGCTGCGGCCGGGCGCCAAGTCGAGCCACTGGGCTAACGCCCTGGACGCTAAACGTGAAAGGATGAGCTGCTGCACCCAGATACGCCTAGGGGCCATACATGTTGAACTAGCAACAGAAATGACACTGTTTCACAAAGTACTACCTGCAAAGAGCAGTGGTACCACGGAAAGAACACCCCAATCGGAATTGGAAGGTCCCGAAAACAGATCAACAGCTCTTTGAAAAAAGGCAAACCATGATGGATTTATACCGGAGTGGTTTTGGAGTAATTATATAGATGATGGTTGATCCCCTCATAACTCTTGGCTCGAGACCACAAAAGCTGGCAGCCAAGCCCGGTTTGGAGCCTAGCGGCCACCTCTTCTGAAGATCCGGGTGGGCAAACGGCAAGGTGTTAATATACCTGGACCATCCGTGTATGGCCTATTTACCGATCAGTTGCACTGGTTTCAAGGGTCAATGTAGACAAACATGCCGGTTGCATGGATGGCCGGGGTACCTGGACCAACAGCTCTCCAATCAACTTACCCCACTACATGACGTATAGCCCTGCTTCCATTGGCCTCATTGGATGGTCCTGGTATTCGATCTGTCTCCGTGTTTTCGCGATTTCCGTCGATGGCACCACCATAAAAGACAAACATGGGCGCATAGAAAGACCACCAATCAATGGAAATATAAAATAACAAAAAAAGTAATAATAATAATAACATATGATCAAGGATGATCAAGGGAACATTCCACTCAATGGGAGTGTATGTGTTTATCTTCTCCGAACCAGTGCCGCAGGGAGTCTTTTGTTCTGTCGTCCCGCTGGAAGGTCCGCCCAGACTCCGCCCAGACTCCGCCCGAGGTCGCGCCCGGAGCTCGATTCGACCGCATGCGACCGTGCTGGTGGGCGGTGCAGAGTCGGGTTTCTCTCGTTTGGAGGTCGACGCATCGTCGACCGACTCCTTCCCAGACGCGACCTGTCTGGGACTGCCAGGATGGACTGCCGCCCCAAAACACCCAAAACAGTCCACCCCTGGCCGTTTTGAAGGCAGTCCTATCAGTCCCAAACAGGTCGTGTCTGGGCTTGAAACCTCGATCACTCCGAGGTCCAGGTCGGTGGGAGGATTCAGTCTCGGATTGCTCCAGGTCCCTCGGTGCCCGGCGTCTGGAACCCTGTTTCTTTGACACGACCCATGGGTCATGATGGTAATGAGTCATGTAGACTGTGGATTAAAAAAACAAACAATTGGGATCAATTGGGGTTGTAAAACAGTCTACATTGGCAGGGGTCTGGACCCGAACCAAGCCCAAGCCCAGTGATTCCGGTGGATGGTCCTGTGGGAGACCCAATCCCTGCTTTTGCGACGATCCTTGGGCACCCTATGCCATATATGCCTACATTGAGGTGTTTTTTGGGTCAATGTAGGCATATATGGCAGTCCCATGGAGTGTCTGGGATTTATTTACACTCCAACTGATCCAACTTGTTACGTCATCACATCGAAGTGGATCCTTGCCCTCAAGCAACCATTTTGATATGGTCTCTTTCATGACCTTGCTTCAAACCGCGTGGAACCGTTTTGTGAGGATCCTCCACCCCCCCTTAACAAAAAGAAAAACGTCGCTTCCACCTCGAAGTTGTCGTCCGGTTGCACATCCTGTGAGAAGTTCATCACCTTCGTGGCCAAGACCATCGACGGCCTGGTGCGCGGGTCTGGTGCCCGGCAGGTCACTCTTTTTTCTGCGCTCGGCGCTCGGAGCGGGGTGGCGAGTGTGCGAGATCGGCGGATGAACTGTGTACAGCGAGATTTGCCGCTTCGACAAATCAACGCGCGGTGTAAACCACCGAAGCAAAACAAAAAAACACTCAAAGTGGAGGATCTCTACGGTCGGTGACTCTTACCTTGTTTCTCTCAAGCTGCTGACTCAACTCACTGAACTGAAATATATTATCCCGAAAAGAAAGACACTGAAGGAAAAAACAACAGCAAAAGAGCACAGGTGTCCTTGCAAAACACTGTGCAGGGGAATATTTCACAAGTCCACGGTGAACATGCAGCGCTGGCAATGCAGGAAGAGAAACTCGTCGACACTGGAAGTGACGAGCATGTCAAAGCCTAGAACTTCCAATGACTCAATTTACCCCACCTGGTAGTCATAATCCACCACTACTGGACGGGCCAAAATGAGTCATTTAACTTGAGAGAGGAGGGGGTGAACGAAAGGTAGCAGGCAATCACAAGTAACCCTGGTAGAAGTCCATGACGGCGTGAACCGGCGCAGGGGGGATTTGATCCAGGGGGGGCCCCCCCCCCGAAAGAACAGAATCAACTCTTACAGGACCAAATTCAATGCACAATCCCAACTCCTGATTGTAACACATTTTTGCTAAAGCAAGGAGAACTCAGGTAGCTCAAGCTACCTTTCGTGATTTGGACTCTGCATTGCCTTCCTACCAAACCCCTTCAAAACCCCTATGATTTGGACACCTTCTTTTCGGAAGACATGCTTCGGCATGATCCAAAGTATTCCATGGTGCAAAATTAGCCTATATACATAGAAGAGTCTACACAGCCGTCGTGGAGTAGATAAAGCATGAACCAATCCAACATGACCAGCTTCTTGATGATGTTTGGTGTGTTTGTCAGTGTTTGTCCATCACATGTCTCTCTCCAATGATACTTTACAATACTATTCACTTCCTGCCACACCACACCTGAGCCTCATATTCACTTCCTGCCCACCCCGTGCCCGGCCTGGCCAACTGTGTGGCCTCTCCAGGCACCGAGGACCGCACCACCTGAGCGGTCAAACGGCCGTCTTCGGTGTCGATGCACGTCCGAGAGTGTCATGCGATGATGACCGGCCATGCCATGCCATGCCATGTGATGATGGTCGTTTTTTGGGATGATTTCAGGGAGTTCTATGGTGTTTTCAGTGGTGGGTGGCTGAGATACCCTGGACCCTGGACCCGCAGCATGTTCTAGTTGCAGCAAACCGGTTTGCTGAAGCTGTTTTGGGGGTCATGGTCAGTGACCCCATGCGGAAATCCAAGGGCGCGAAACATCTACCCAAGCTGCGGCATCAAATTTTCTCCACTACAACACCTGAGGATTGAACAGCTCACTTCATGGGTGAGTATAATTTCACTATATATATATATATCAATATAGGGACCCCGGCTGCCCCATTTAGGGGTTGTGGTCAATTTTCTAAATTTGGAAGGTTTGTCACCTCGCAGGTCTCACTATTCGAAGAAAGACTCGCCCTCACTTCCTGTCAAAGTCATCCCACCCTTCACAGCTCCCCCACCTGGACCTGTTTTGCGGTCTTTGAAGGCAGGGTCTACCCTCACATCGCGGCGAACCCATTCCATGTGACCTACTATTTCCGCTGCAGAACATGGAGCCCCAAGAACCACAGGAAATGGTCTTCCATGTTAGTCTGCGGTTCACAAGGCTCTATAAGGAAATCACATTCCAGACCCCAAACATGGCAGAAACGAAACTCAGGTCCATGCAAAGAAGCAAAAACACTTACCATATATGTTGGACACCACCAAAAACACTAACCCAAAAAACCATCCCTGGACCATCCTGTCTGGTGTCCTGGCCCAAACACACCCTACCATTGGATGTTACCATTCCTATGCATGCTTGGAGGCCATCGCTTCAGAGGCCATCACTCTCAGGTTGGAGGCCATCTTCGTTGGCCTTTGAAGATCCAACAGGGCCCCATCGTCTGTCCAGGTCTTCCGACCAGCGCGGCGGCCATGGCCGAAGCACCACAGGCCGTGGCCTCCAAGCGCGCTCGGAAGCGCACCTGGGTGAAAGCGCCGTTCGGGACGGGCGAGGGACGCCGAGCGCCGTTTGGACCGGGAAGAACACAGGGATCCGACAGGGAAAACACCTTTCTTCGGCATGTTTTTGGGGTTGCAAGCGTATGTATACATTGTCTCTTGCAAGTTGCAAGTGTCTGTTGCAGTACAGGTCCTTTTTTTACGCCATAACTATTCCACCTATCAAGGCGTCAAGGCGTTGGCACTAACCTACTTCCAGAAACTATACACATATACAACCTAACCGGCACACTCACTGTCCCCACCATTGACTGCGATCAAAAAAGCAATTGCATGAAGTGCGAAGGTGAGGTGATTTCACACTGAGATTCACATTGAGATTCACATTGAGGATATTCATACGGAGAGGCGATTCTTGCGACTGCTTTCTGAATAGATATTATAGAAAGGGTGGTTGATATTGCTTTGCTTGTGCAATAATTTGTTCTCTCATATTGCGATTATACTTGTTGAAATGTTGTCTTGGCTGAGCTTGGTTATTGATATACATAATGTCCCCGGCCTTTTTCATGTTGTTTGTGATTTGTGGTCCAGCAGAGTCTTGGTCTTCCCACCCTGCGGTTTGTCGTTTCTCTTGGCATTGCTGATGCTGTGGAGAAAGTAACTTGGTGTTGAGGGTGTTGTCTTTCTCTTCTGAGCACGTGTCGGAGTAATTTGAGTTTCCTTTCTTCAAGTTTCTCTGTCATGGGTTTTACTTTCCTGAATGGCCCTGCAGTTGGCGCATTGAGCGCTTCATTGGCTGTGCTGTAAACCAATTCATTGGTATTTTCAAGTTGGACGTAGGTAGTTCGCAAATTAAGGAATTTCTAAGTCCTTTGAGTTGGAATGTGTTGAGAAGCTGCGCCGCCCCCTGTGTGGGTTCTAAAGTTTCCAAACTGCATATAAAAGCTTGCTGGTAGTACATGCATCGCATACCAACAGCTTCCACTTTTTGCTGCAGCGAGTGTTGAGTCAAAAAATGTCTTGTTTGAGGACTGCCATAGTTGTCGAGATGCGCTTCCTAATCTCATGTTTTGGATCGATTTTCTTGGTCACAGGTATGCCGAGGTAAGAGATATCTTCGGACATCTGCATTTGCTGTCCATTGGAGAAGAAGATACTACCCATTTGAGTTGTATGAAATAAAGGCGCATTTGTCTTGATTAAGCTTCA